ATAGACAGATAGACAGATAGACAGATAGACAGATAGACAGATAGACAGATAGACAGATAGACAGATAGACAGATAGACAGATAGACAGATAGACAGATAGACAGATAGACAGATAGACAGATAGACAGATAGACAGATAGACAGATAGACAGATAGACAGATAGACAGATAGACAGATAGACAGATAGACAGATAGACAGATAGACAGATAGACAGATAGACAGATAGACAGATAGACAGATAGACAGATAGACAGATAGACAGATAGACAGATAGACAGATAGACAGATAGACAGATAGACAGATAGACAGATAGACAGATAGAGAGATAGACAGATAGACAGATAGACAGATAGACAGATAGACAGATAGACAGATAGACAGATAGACAGATAGACAGATAGACAGATAGACAGATAGACAGATAAACTGATAGACAGATAGACAGATAGACAGATAGACAGATAGACAGATAGACAGATAGACAGATAGACAGATAGACAGATAGACAGATAGACAGATAGACAGATAGACAGATAGACAGATAGACAGATAGACAGATAGACAGATAGACAGATAGACAGATAGACAGATAGACAGATAGACAGATAGACAGATAGACAGATAGACAGATAGACAGATAGACATTTACACATTTAGACAGATAAACTGATAGACTGATAGACAGATAGACAGATGAGACAAGTGAGACAGTGAGATAAACGAGACAGTGAGACAAAAAAAGACAAAAGAGACAGGTAAGACGGGTATCACAAGTGAGACAAACGACATAGAAAAACCCAGGACAAGTCATCTGGCTACTGTCTGAGATCAATTCTACATAATCGATTGTTTGTATTGTCTGGATAAAGATGGGGTAAATCCGGCACCCGGAGACCGGCAATGTGATTAAAAGCCGGCATCCGGCTAAATAGTAATGTTTGTTTAGAGCCCCACCTGCGAGAGAAAATGTAATTGACAACCGGTTGCCGGCATTGTTTATTCCGGCTTCCGGAGATCATGACACTAAGACTTTCACAAACTTCGATGAACACAGAAGGGTGAAACAACACAACTCTCATTCGTTGAAATCGATCACGTGTTCTTGTTGCTAGGATAGGTAGATTTTATGACAATCTTGGGTAAGATCTTTAAAAAAAGTCAGTTAATAAAATAATTTGAGAACCTCCGTCATTAAAAAAAAATTTCCTTCAGAAACCCCGACAGATGAATCCAAGTCTATTGTTGATTTATTAATGCGGTAATTCTAGATACCGAGACAAGACAAAGGAAATTTAAAGAGACGACGTACAGCGTTGATCTCGTATATCGCAGCTGGTGTAAATATGGCGGAGAGAACGAAGTATACGAGGGAAAGAGAAATTTTGACATTATGTCAGAACTTGAGTTGATGTCTTTTGTATAAACTCATTGGTTACGTGTTTTTCTAATGGTGTTAAATGTTACAAATATACTTAATACATATATAAAAACATATAAATTTTTAAATATGTATATATATAGGTATATATATATATATATATATATATATATATATTAAAAAGTGTCCAATAGAGCGCAACTTCCTGTTCCCCCGTCCTAACTACGCAACTGTTATACCAGTTTATTTGACCCTTATGTTTAAGACGGTAGATATTTGCACACACACCAGGAAGTATTGAGCACCCTCCCAATAAACGATCGAAGTGTTGACCAAAGTCCCCGGTAAAAATACTTGAAATTTAAATCAGGTGTTGAATATTCATTTTGTTGGTCCACCTTTAGACAAGTCTGACGCAGTAGAGAGAAAAATGGGCACTTTACATTGGCTTCGTTGTCCGGTGTGGTTGTGGTTGGTGGTTGGGAGGGTGGCGTGTGATTGTGGTTAGTGATGGAGAGCGTAATGTTTGGTTGTGGTTGTGGTTGGTGGTGGGGAGGGTGGCTTATGGTGGTGGTGGGTGATGGAGAGCGTAATGTTTGGTTGTGGGGAGGATGGTGGTTTTGTTGCGGGTGGTGTGTAGTTGTGGTGGTGTGACATGGTGGTGGGAGGTAGTGTGTGATGGGGAAGTTAGTGTGTGGATGAGGTTGGTGGTGGTTGATGGGAAGGATGGTGTGTGGTTGTGGGGGGGGGGGGGGGTACTTTAGTTATTGTAGTATGCGGGGAAGGTGTTGTGTAAGGATGTGTTTGATATTGAAGTTATGTGAGGCTGTAGTTGATGCTGTGTGGATCTGTGGTTGGGTATTATTTGTGTGGATGTTGTAGGTCCACGGGTAAATATTACGTGTAATTGTCGTAGGTAGTTAAACATAAACTGTAAAGGGTTTTCTTCGAACGACCTTACACTTATGCTATAGATACATTTTTTTTTTAAAATCGGTAAGAATCTATACATTAGATGATACTGAATAAAGGCAAAGCCAAAAAAAAAAAAACACCACCATTTAAACTAATCAGTCTTGTCCTTCTCTAGAACACAAATTTATAGAAAAACAACGCGTACGTTGTGATCGTTTGAGGTCCAAAAACAAGTTTATTTATTTAAGACAGAAACTCTTGATCTTCTAAACAGACACACACTCTGAAGGGATTAACTATGATTCCATCAACCTTCCCAACTGTGTATGCTCTAAGTAACAGGATAGCGTGGTCGAATTGTAGAGCTTACGACTGCTAACCGGAATTTCTTGAGTTCGGATCCCGGTTTCGAATCTATACGACGTCCCTGGTCCACACAGCGGTGTTGGGTACCAAATAGCGTAAGGCTGCTAAACATAGTGCTGATCACACCATCCCCCTGTATGCCGAAGTAAATGAAACAGATCAACTCTACCTCATCTGCCTCGAAAGGGTCTTGGGCTCGAATGCGAAAAGATGACGATGATATTCTGACTACTATCTAAATTGCAGGTGTATTAATGTGTATCCTACTCCGGAGTACAGACATTTCAACGTTTGCAAAAAAAGCATATTTTTCAATGTTAATTAGTCGGCTGCACATTTACATTACTAGCTGCAGTCAAGCACGCCAGCATGTTAATAAGATAAAAACTAACCTACAATTTTCCTCGTTCATTAGACCTTTGGACATTTAAATCGCTCACTGAAGCAAAGACTAGCCAACAAGCACGTCCGCGTGTTTGTAAGTTAAAAACTGACCTACAACTTTCCTCGTTGATAGAACTTTGGCCATTTAAACCGCTCACTGAAGCAAAAACTAGCCAATAGCACGTCCGCGTGTTTGTAAGTTAAAAACTGACCTACAACTTTCCTCGTTGATTAGACCTTTGGACATTTTTTAAATCGCTCACTCAAGCAAAGCTCAGGCAACAAGCACGTCCGCGTGTTTGTAAGTTAAAAACTGACCTACAACTTTCCTCGTTGATTAGACGCACGAGTGAGTACCCAAGCTATTAGCCGCGGGATTCATCAAGATTTTACTCACAGCTCTCGTGCTACACGCGAGCGGGACCACGGCTAGGTGCCATCAACGGTCAACCACAGGTTTACATGCTCACGTTTGAGTTCATCTACACGAAAATACCGGCGTTGACGCTCGTTTTTTGCACGTAGAAAGTAATGCTTCTCTAGCGATACATTGGGTAGATGAAGTAGAGTTAATCTGTTTCTTGACCACGACATTTGGAGGGATAGTGTATGCAACACTATGCCCAGCCACCTTTACTTTCTTCATGTAAATCAGGAAAACACCAGAGCTGGATAGACGCAGGAACGTCTTAAAAACACAAGTCTAAATCGAGATTCGAACTCGACACCTCTGGAGTAGTAGTCAAACGCTCTATCGCAGCTTTTGAACGTAAATGACCCGTTAACATTAGTGTAAAAGCTAACGTTTAAGTGCCTTTTACATTCAAATACCGGCTAACCCGCTAACATTCAAGTGCCATTTACATTCAAATACCGGCTAACCCGCTAATATTCTAGGGCCATTTACATCAAATTTTACACTAACATTTACAAGCCATTGCAACTGAAACATCAGATTTCAAACTTATGTGTAGACGCCAATTACACTGAAACATCAAATTTCACACTCACGATTAGATACCATTTAAATTAGTTCCAAGTACCGGCTTTCACGCTATTGAATTTAAATAGCCCTTAAAACATAAATACATGTAAAAGCAGATTTTTCTTCCAGACTTTTTCTCCGCGGTTGGGCGCTTGAAATTTTCGGAGGACGGACTAAACTTTCCAGGTGGAGGGGGGATTTGTGGACAGTTGTCGAACATCGACTTTACCGCTAACGCTTATAAACACTGCCATAATTTAAATATTCATTATTTACGACCTGGTAAAACATTTCTAGGAAAAATTACGTATATGGGATATTATTTCAGCTGATTTTGCTACAACAACACAACACAAACGCAGGCAATGTCCAAACATGTTTTGTCGTTAACGTTCAACACTTTCCTGTTTTATCCAAGACTCAGAAGACAGACATAAATTGTCAAATGCGCATCGTTAAAAACTATAACTAACACAAACTTGTTACTGTGTGGTCGAATGGTAGAGTGCTCGACTGCTACCTCGGTGGTCTCGAGTTCGGATCTCGCCTGAGTCCAACGAGCTCTGTTGAACACCTGAATCACCTCAGGGAAACTAAAGGCGGCCGGGCATAGTGCTGACCACACCGTCACTTCATTCTTCGAGGTCAAGAAATAGAGAAACTCTACTTCATCTGCTATATGGATCGTTAGGTCCCATAGTGGAACTTTTCTTACCTAACCCCACCTAAATCACTATTGATCTTTTAACTCATATAACATAGCTTTAACTTTGCGTGAAAACGTAACCATTTTCTATTACTCTTTAATAAAGTACCTAGAAATGTATTATATAACTACAAAAACGCACATCACACTTTTAACATCAAGTTTAATAACTGTATTAAAATATCTTTAAAGTTTTAATCACAACAATTTTTATTCTAAAAAATATTTAATTACAAGGTGTTAAGTTAAAATTGAAATTTTACCTGTAGTTTCTGAATTTGGAAGCCGAAAGGAAGAAAAAAAATTAGCAAACAGCCACGCGGCAGAAACAGTTGATACCGGCACAACTCTATACACCTCACAGACCTTCTTTCTCCCTGCAGAACCTCGCGCTGCCAGATCTCGTCTGGTCTCACAATCTCGCGTGATCAGAGACGCACGCGACGTGTTTTTTTATGGAGAAGTTTCAAAACATTGGACACGTCACATGACTAGGTGGGTGGGGGTGGGGGTGGATTTTTAATTTTATTTCCACACTTTAACTGTAAATTAAATTGATGTTTTTCTCTAATAAACGAGTACATCGCTCGACTTCGAGTAGTAGGTTTGACTAAGAAGAGGAAAGAATATGATAAGGTACACGCTCTATTTCCAGCCCCATATCCCAAACCCTTGTCATAACCCTATCCTTATCCTTAAACCTATCTCTATCTCAAAATGACCCTAGTGGTGTGTGGGTATGTGAAAGGGGGGGGGGGTGACTGACCGAGAGGAGTAAGTCCTGCTGCTGTTTTATGGACTAGGGTTATTGGTTGGATGGGGGGGTGGGGTAATTCCGTTGCGTTGATGTTTCTTTTTCTGATGTTTCGTTGCGTTGTTCTTTGTCCATTCCCACCATTCTAAGAAGATTTTCGGAGTACTTTGACCGTGAAAAGAAGACACCTAATCATTACGTTGTTATTTTATACGAGCCGACCCGCGACGTAGCGTACGCCGCTATTTAGTTTAATTCCTATTTTTCAGTCATTGATAATTTGTGAATTTGACACTACCAATGCTACGACTGAAAATATTTTGCTTTAAAACAATATCAGTAGCTAGTGAAGGACGATTATCCTCAACCTCACTTTCCATTGTATAGTATGAATTAAAAAAAAACATTGTAAAAATTGGTTTATTTTTTTTAATTTAAAAAAAAAGTGAGGAAAAGGTAGGAGTGGGTGTGGTCTAGTATCACAGGTGTATGTTGCAGCTTTAAACTTTTAATAAACTACCAATGCAGGAAATTCATTTTAAATTTTTTTAAAATTAAAGGGGCAATTAATTAATTATTATGACGTCATCAATTTAAAAACTACCGATTCATTACAATAATCATAACGAGAACAACTTCTTCTTAAAAAAACATGCATTTTTATGCAACGTGCGCTGTCGATGGCCCTTAAGACCGCGATCAGAGAGGGATGAGTGAGAGGATTAACCTTGACCTTTAGCTAGGGTATTATTGTCTGTCAGCAATAAGCCCTACTCACACGCACATACTCACACGTACACCCGTACACGCATTTAAACAAACACACGCACGCACATACACACCATCGATCTATTTTTGATGAATGAATTCAATTCTTGCATGTCTTTTTACTTGCTCAATACACGTTATATTTTTTTTATAAACACAATACCGCCACCCTCAAATGTCAACATACCACTCCCAATTGCCAATACACCGCCCCCACTCACCCACCCACTCACCCCCTCCCTCACACGTGCGACCCACGCGCACGTATAAACCTCTGCCTCATCCAACTCATTGAGCTTTGAAATAATTTATTTTCCCTTGCTAAATCATTCACCCACAGGACTATAGACGTGATCTAAAAATAACTCTAGGAAATCTTATACTGTAATGCCAGTGGTGTCCATTTAAGACATTTAGCAACTTAGACAAATCAGGTTTAGAGAAGCAATTTGATCCGAGATTGCGTAAAAAATGTGAATATTCATGAGGGAATAAATATACCTATATATTGTTTTTTTTTTCTTCTAAATATCCACAGACCTTCATTTTAAAATGTTTTTTTTTTCTTTACAAATTCTACAAGAAATATATTAATAAAACAAATTAGTCTTTTAATATCCTAGTTGAAGTTAATCTTTGCAATTGTAAAAATGATACAGGTATAATCATGGTTCTAATTATAGCACGTATGATAATTTTAGCTTTTGTGATATGTGAAAGGGCGTGGGTGGGTGGTGTGTGGGTGAAGGGTTGGGGGTGATTGAGGTGAGAGGGGTCGATAATAAAACTTAAGCTTATACAAACGTAGGCTAGTGAAAACTGAAGCTACTAAAAATTTAAGAGAATTTAAAGTTTAATGAAAAATTGTAGCAAATAACACAAACAAACAAGTCAAAAACAACATTTGGAAATGAAAACTTTTCAAAATAAATGTCAAGTTGAGTAAAGAGTTCACCTTATAGAAACTTTGTAGGATAAAACCTTTATGGAAAACTTTAGCACAATAATACAAAAATTACATAGCAAAACATTCAGGAATATAAACGTTAGTTAACGAAAATGTAAAGAAAAAATAAAATTTAGAATGAAATGTAATTCATGAAAGCTTTAGCTAACCAACTTAACTCAAATCTGGAGTTACTCCAAACTGTCGAATTTTTTTATGGAACTAGGTCACCATTAATCGATGTTTTCAACTCAAGGTCGATCTACCTTCGTCTGGCTGAGATCTGACTCAGATCTTGCTCTTTAACTTGCAAAAACCCCAGTTTTTTCTAAACAAATTAATTAAGATTTAAAACATTGGAACATGTATGAAGTGCAACATTTACAAATATTAATTTTTAAAAAATGGATCTACATTTTCAACATATGAAAACCTTAAATTTTCGACACGTGAGAAATAAGTTAAGTTTACAAAAATCTGAGAATCCTTTTATTTTTCATAATATAAAAACTTAACTTTTCAAAACGTAAAAAAAAAACTTCATTGTGTAAATTCTTTCATTTTTTTTTATACTTGCCATAAACCTTTAAAATTTTATACTGATATTTTTAAAAGTCTTTTTCAAATTCCCTTTTTATTTAAAAAAAAAAGAATTTATTACAATTCAACCAGTTTAGTTTTCCGTCCAAAAATTTTACCAACCAAACATCTAAAGAAGACAACGAACATTTTAGACAAAATCCATCTCCCCCTTCAATGTCACCCCACCACCTTAACCCCTCCACGGTGACATCATATAATGGTTCAGGTTTTTAAAACCCCGTTGTTTAAGGTCTCGCGAGACCCGCCCTCCCAGCGGTAGAAGCGGTAATTTAGAAAGGAAACAAAAAAGTTACCTCCCCTGGACAAGCGATAAGAGCCGAGTCAAGCGACATTGGTAATTATCTCCCTTGTGGGGTCTGGCAAACCACACAGTTCAAACTTGGCTTTTACTGGGGTGATGGCTTCGTTGATTGAGTGACGGGGTGGGGGGGGGGGGGGATAGGGTGTAGGAGGGGGGTATACTAAAGTGTTACCTACTAATGGGATGGTTTTAAAAAACAGATTAGAACTTCAGTAATGTTCATTGTTAGAATTCAGAATCAGATTGTCATTTTTTTTCTAGCTCATCATCTATGTTAAGTTTCGCAAAAAGAATTTTAGTGTTCAATTTTTTTTTCTGAATTCGCGGTCACTAATGGTCTTTAACGAGAGCATACCAACACACTTGAGAGATACACTTTGCTGATGGACGATCCATAAGGCAGGTGAAGTAGAGTTCACCTGATCCCATGACCTCTGCGTGTGACCGGATAGTGTCGTCAGCACTATTCTATTCCCAGCCGCTTTTATTTTAACCCTGACGCAATTTAGTTACATTTCAAGAGTTACCATGTACGTGTAGGGTTACATGATATTTTAGTTTATTTTTCTTTAATTAATTTTTTTTAATTTAATTTTGTTTTATTTTGTATATAAAAAAGTAATGGTAGACGGCTGAATGGCATAGCTTCGTTATTCTTTTGACCGGTCGACGCTTTATGTCTTTTTTTTATTATCAAAATATTTCACGTAACATGAGATACGTACTACATAATGATAGATGATGTGAAATATGTCATTATGCCCATGAAATATTTCAAAAATATATACGATGTTATTAAAAATATTATCGATATAAAAGCTTTTTTTATTTTTCTTTTGACATTATTTCATAAAGATTTGACATAGGCCCAGTGGCGGAACTAGAAATCAAAGGCTCCCCCGCAAAGAAAAAACTAGGGCCCCCCTATATATATATATATATTTATATATATATATATAAATATATATATATATATATATATATATATATATATATATATATATATATATATATATATATATATATATATATATATATATATATATATATATATATATATATATATATATATATATATATATATATATATATATATATATATATATATATATATAATCTATATCCTATATGAGTTATTTAGTCTACTTCATTGCAATATATAACCATTCTGAGAGAACAAACCAGAAAAAAATTAGTCCAAACTAATATTGAGTTGTTAGTATCCAAAATACACTGGTCAAAAATATATAAAGACGTTAGGTTGATTCGTGAATTGTTTCTCGCCTTATGTTTATTTTTTTCATTTTTGGCTTTTATAATATCAATTTTGAAAACATTGATTTTTATAGCTATACTATTGTATAGTACGTCATATTTAAGTAACAATTCAGAGAATCAATTGCTTTTTAACTTACATAGTACAAAACTATTAAAATGAGCTTTGTGGGCATCCCTATTTTAAAAAAGGGCAGTAAGTCATGCAAGTAGTGTGAATGTTTACCTACCTTTCAAACTATAGCTCTTGTAGATTTTAAAATATTTTTCTACGCAACAATCTCTGCTATAGTAGACCTGTTTTTTTTTTTACAAAACCACTTTCAAGATGCATGAAAAACATAATTTTTGAAAAAAAAAAAAATCATTGCTTTTTGGTCGGAACTGGGTCCCTAAACGTCCTGGGCCCCCCCGCATTGCGGGGTCTGGCGGTATGGTAGTTCCGCCCCTGCATAGGCCCTATTTGACTTTTTCATTAATTTCGTAACTAAACAAAATTAAAAAAACAAACAAAAAAGATTTTTTTTTTTTTTTTACAACGTAATGGAGTCACAAAGCATAGACATCCTGCTGTTTGATGGGTTAGCATAAAGTGTAACAATTTCCCAAAATACTTTGTACTATGTTTATCATTTTAAAGCCGATCCTACTTAATAAACTAAACATTTTGACGCCAATATTAAAGTCACCCCTCGCTAAATTAATATTCTCGCATTGTCATCGAAGAAGATGATACTGGAAAATTTGAACCCATTATAAGTG